CGGGTCGAACAACAGCAAACAGGTATGGCACAGGCAAGACAAAAGAGCAATCCAAAATGGGCTTGAGTCAGACGACAGCGAACGTTATCCAGAGGGCTTGACAAGAGAGGTAATCTGTAAACAAGAGCAATAGTCCAAGCGAGGGACAAACACAGTCCGAAATGGTGTGTTATTGGTAGCAGCTGTGTGTGATTGGTTTCAGGTGAGCTTGTGATTAGTGCAATGGAGCATGGGAAATGTAGTCCAGGGTGATGTGTAACAGTCTGTGTAGTGTGAGAGTCCTTGTGGAGAGCGGGTGACCTCTGGTGGTGAGTGAACGGAAGTTTATAGACCGGATTCGTGACAATGGTCTTGACGTCATGATATTTTAACTGATGGTCTGTTTCTTTAGTGTTGTGTTTTTAAGATGTTGTTTCAAGTTAATATGTTCATAGCTTTGCCCGTCTCTTTTTGAACGCCTCAATAGCAGCTTTAAATATGTGTGCTAAATTTACATGATGGAGGCATGAGCCCGATTGGACACATTACAGTTATGGACTGAAGATCTGTCATGCTGGCCTTGGAGTTTTCGCTTAATTATGTCAAGAGCTGAAAGTTTATTCATAGTACATTGACATTGTCTACAAAGAAAGTTTCGTTCGCTGTTATTTTTTGTAGTTTGACTGGACAACAATAAACACAGATTATGTCTATAAACAATGCAAAATAAAATGATCTATGCAAATTGCGCTTTAATGGTTTAATGGAACCTGGTTCCTTCAGGTTCATTGGCTTTATGTAATTAGCTAAAAATAAATGACTGCTCGTGAATTTACATATTGCTTTTAAATTGTAAGAAAAACATAATTGATGATATAATATGACTGACAGATAACCTTAACAAAAGTACACTTACTTTCATAATCATTTCCATTAGTCATTAGCAGAAAATTGTGCGATGCTTAACAGGCTGTGATGAATATTCAAATTTAAATATGAGTTATGTTGATTTTTTTTTCTACAATGTTTTGTGCAGAAACTTTTGTGTGCATTTACACTTTTTTTGTGTGTGTTCTTGTTTATCAGCCAGAGCGGTGAATGGATTCTCATGTGGAGAGTATAATGATGTGTTTGCACATTCATGGCTCTCTGTACTGATCTCACAATTCAGATAATACTCTTTGATGTTCTTTCAAAATTTTAAAGCAATTATTTTGTGATAAAGTCATTTCTGTTTTGAAACTATTTCTTTTGAGTCTTGTCATGAGTAAAATATTTCAATAATGCCCACTCGAATGCTTTTCCTGAACAAACGCTTTCCCATGCAAATGTTTCCATTCGTCCTCTGCAGTAAGTCTTCTGTATTTGTGTAAATGCATTTGTTGTGCATCATTAGTTGAGCAAATGATGAATAGCTATGAACTCATTAAAGGGGTCATAGGATGCCCATTTTCCACAAGTTGATATGATTCTTTAGGGTCTTAATGAAAAGTCTGTAACATAGTTTGGTTAAAATTTCTCAATGGTAGTGTAAAAAACACCTTTTTTTACCCTGTCAAAAACAGCTCTTTTCAGAGCATGCAGATTTGTAGCATTTTCCTTTAAATGTTAATGAGCTCTGCTGACCCCACCCCTCTCTTCCGAGCCGCTCTCAGAAAGACTGTTTACTTTAGCTGCATTCATCGTGAAACTTGCTAATTAGCACATTATTAGGAAAGGCGATTTGCAAAGATTCGTTAAAAAAACCTTACACTCACTTCTTCTGTAGGTAAAGCTGGATCACAAATGATTTGTGCAAACATAGACGCATTTATGTAGATCGGGGGCGCATTCCCTTCAAAAACAAACATAATCCACTGCGTCTTATCAGATGTCGGGAGTAAACGACGACTGCTATGTTCATTATTACATCCAACAACAAAAC